CACTTCTTCGGATGCATATGCATCCGAAGAAGTGGGCTATAGTCCACGAAAGCTTATGCTCTAATAAACTTGTTAGTCTCTAAGGTGCCACAAGTCCTCCTGTTCTTCTTTTTGCGGATACAGACTAACACGGCTGCTACTCTGAAACCTTTCTATGTGGTCTGACATCCTATCTTTATGCTGTCTGTTTACAAAGGAAGTTCTGAATAGAAATCTTGTTCCTTGGTTATTGGTAGCAAGTTTCATGGAGGAATTTTGTCACCATATAGAACATCTTCCAAGGTGTGAGGATTTGGGATTACATCACCCAGAATTAGTGTTCACTGATGAATGCCTAAACAAACAACATTAGACGATATGCCTGACAAAGTGGAATTTCACTGTTCTTTTCCTTATATTCCCGTTTTTTGGCTACGTGAACTGCAATTCCATCTCTCCTCCTATTTCCAAACTTCCTACTCAGATATGATTGCCTAGCATTCCACCATGCTGGAGTTGTCATAACTTCCATAGATCATTCCTGGAAAATAGATTCTATGTCATAAGGTACAGTGGCAACCAGAGAAACGTGCAGACTTGCTCTTCCCTCAGAGTTGTGCAAGGAATGTAGGTTTAGGGGTCCCCAGGTAAAAAACGGTTGAGAACCACCGTGTTAATGCACCCACAAGATTTAAGCATACATGAGTTTGATTACATTTGCAGGCACAAATTGACTAATTGTGAGCCTGACTTATACATGCAGATAGCTTTTTGAGTTTTCCATGGGCAAACTGACATCCTCACAAGTTTGGCAAATGTGTTAATGGAGGCAGGCTGGCAATTTGGTCCTAAATAAGGAAATCAGAAACTCTCCAGCCAGCATTTGCTGCACTAAGGTGGCATAACATCAGCCATGGCCATTCCTTCAAACCTATGACTATCAAGCAGATAATCACATGATGCTGAAATGAATGCAGTCTACACATATTTTTCACTCATCTGTAGGATAAGCCCTTTCTTTCAGCATTTACCTCTCTGATGGATAACTCTTCCCTTCAATTCCAAAAATGCTAAGACCCAGGACAAGAGCTACCTGATTTGTTGGCTTTCTCCTTATTCTAGATTTACCTTTATTCCAACTTCTCACTGGATTGATTAAAAATTCTCTAGAGAAAATGAGGTTTCATTTATCCAAGTGGCTAGAGAAACCAACTTTCATTTGTTTAATCCAATATCTTTCAAAGTAACACCTACACCTCCCCCCACAAAAAAATGTAGCAACAAAATTAGAAGATCCTCCTGGTGTTTATCAAAGTCATAAGGAAAGATCTGATTTTTTTTCATATTAAACATGCCTACCACTTTATTATTTAAGTAGAGTCAGAAAGGGTTTCTTAGCACAATAACAATGTTAGTACCCACACAGAATTCTCCTCCTACAGCATAATTAGGAACAGTGGACAAACACAGATGAGAAAAATAGCACTTAATGTCAACAGACTCTACTCCTTTACTGGAAGCATTATACAAGTCAACTTGCAATAGACCAGACAGAAAAATTATGAGGTAAATTTCCAGAACAATAATACCAAGAAACTTGGCAGAAGTCAATGCAGACTTCTTTGGAAAGGCAGAGACTAATTATCTATTGACAGATGCCACAGCTTATTAATTTGAGTAGCTATGGAATATGGGAAGCCTGGAAGTTTGAAGCCCAGATGGGATTCTGAAACTCCATGGCTGTACCGTAGGTAGGTTGCCAGCTCAAATTCCCTGCCAGTGCTGTCTTAACAGCAATCCCATCTCAGCTGCACCACAAGTCCTAGCAGGGCCTACAATAGGAAGATGCTACCATTATCTGATTCATTATTCTGTTAATAAACAGAGGAAAAACATTTTGCAGGACACACGTGTACAATATTGTGCATGTTGCAATGACTGAGCCACAAAGATATTGCTATAAAACGGAGCTAGTGCCTTCCAGCACTTGCAAAAATTGCCACAGAGTAGAACATTTACAACATTGCCTCCTATTTTAGGGTTTATTTTGGTACACATTTGCTTAACCAACAGGCTGGGAGGTTACCTTTCTCCTCCAGTTCATATGCATGAAGTATGAAGACTTTAAAAGCAATTTGCAATGGCAGAATATATCTTTATATTTACAGTGGTTCAAGTACAATATTTCAGATGCAATGACTTCAGGTCCCTTAGATTACATGACTTACCAACCCCAGTCCTGCCAACTTCTGTATCAACTGTGAGTTTTAGGTCATTAATGAAACACTAATATTTGGCAAATCTTTTGCATTTGCAGTGTCCATTATTTCATGCTATAGGATGGGGATTATAGAAAGGAGAAATTTCATTGGCTAGCAAAATTTCCCATTAGAAATAGCCTTGAACCAAAATACTAAACACCCAGAGCTTTAGCAAAGCAAGGATCCAAATTGTTATGACTTGGGCCTATATTTAGCTTTTACTGCACAGGAAGCTGGTATATTTGCACAGGATGGTAATTCGACTGCTATCAGAAATCCAAGCCAGGACACACAGAGACTGTGTGATGAAACTCAGGCTGCTTTGGTTAGTCTGAGAGCTAGCAGAGACAATCAAACTACAAGGTCTGTCTGTGTCCAGGAGTCTCATCAGAACACAGGTGACGTGTGTGGGGGTGTGTGCAGGGTAACATCGCCCCCCCCCCCCCCAGATTTCTCAGGACGCCTCTCGCTAGGACGCCCAGCAGCGAGGAAGCAGCAGCTCCCCCTGGAGATGGCACTCACCATGTGTCCATACAGTATGGGGAGGGAGGAAGCACCAGGGCGGCTGGCTGCAGGCTGAGCACTGAAACAGCAGCAGCCTCCAATGTGCCTATCAAGGAGAAGGCGATTTGGGGGTGTCATATTCCCCCTTCTAACAAAAAGTGACTGATAGTGAAATTCCACATTGGAGAACTATTAACCAAAATTCCTGTTCACTGAAATGGTCCAGCCCCAAGCACCACTTCACCCTGGCGCCACCCACCCTGATGGCGCATGGGGAACTGTGCATCCCAACTGCGTTGCCCCTTTTGTTGGTCTTGTTTTGAACACTTGCTAAATTGACTGAGGCTAGTTCAGGCAGGAAGGGAAGGCTGCAAGTCCTGCAAGGGGCTGGGCAGCCACAGGACAGACAGCAGGAGGCAGTTGCCAGTGTATGTTGTCTACGTACATACCAAGTTTCAGGGGCTGGAGGTGGAGGCAATGCATGCGGTAGTCATGTGCCTCCACACAACCTTTCAATTGTGCCCCCCACTACCCCCAGTTACGTGTCACCTCTGCGTAAGAAGCTTATTTCTATAAACCCAGGATCCAGTTGTTTATATATTATAACTTAGTCCGGTCTCTTCTCTACCACAGCAGACACCACAGGAATTTTTAGCCAATCTGTTCTCCCTGAAATCATGTTCAAAAGGGAAAAAAATAAAGAGGACTATAGGAGAAATAGCTTAAAAATGTTTTCCCTACTATTTTGCATTCACTTTTCCCTTATTTAAGTACAGACACTCTTGAAGTCTGTAGATGCTTTCTGGAAATCACTCCTTGAAACTTCAGGTCTTCATTGGCAGCCAGCAGATGAAGTTGATCAGTGAGTGCTCTAATCCTCTGGCTGTCTTTCCACTCCTGTTTTCACAGGAAGGAAAGTCAAATCAAATAAAACAACTTCAATGCAAGTTTTAAAATGGTCTGAATATTGTTTGTGGTTGTTACGGATCTGACATAAATTTACTTGGTACTCGGCACAAAACATGGGAACCAGGACCAAAAATTAACAGGAGTTCTGACTGCTCAGTGGGGTCCTATTTCCACGGAAACAGACTGGCAAAAACATGGTAAGACTTTTAATGCTGACTTTTCAGAGTGACATTTTAAAATGTTCACTCTACCTTACTTTTGCTGATGAAAACTCTGTTACCACAGAAACAGGAGGAGGAACACAAATAGCACCCTGGAGTTGAGAGCTAGAAGTCTCATTTGTCAATTTCCTTGGTTGACTGCCAAAAGAGACCTGCCTGGGCGTAACCAACACCTGCAAATACTGGCCGTGGCCAGGTACTTCAAGTTTGCGGGGGGGGGGGGGGAAGGGGAGATAAAATAAAACTCTCCTTATAGATCTGAGCATTTTTAAATTGAGATAAATTTAATTGAAAAATGTTCCAAAATATGTCCCAGGGACTGATCCAAAACCTACTGAAGTCAACTGGAGTCTTTCGCTGATTTAGTGGTAATGGAATCAGGCCCTAGAAAAACACCACCACAATCAAATGTGGATGTCTAATATAACATCACCATTCTCTTTGGTGGTTGGAGGTACTCAGTCCTGTTCCATCCCCACCCCGAGGAACACTTCTAATCACCCCGCCTTACTTTGATTTCTTGCTCTTGTGAAGGAGGAAAGTTTGAGTTTTTTTCTGATTCCCTTCTCCCTTCCCAGACAGTGATTTTAAGCACATAGCAGAAATATACATTGCTGAAAATATTCCAGGGAGGCCTCTCAGGCTAGGGAGTTTTTCCAACTTCCTTAGCACCGTACTGGCTCAGTTGCTGGTCTTGCTCCATTAAAACAAAAACCAAACAGAACATTTTCATCAATCTATGGGAGTCTGAGACCTATATTTTTCAACTGCATTTAAGATATCTTATTCAGTGCAGTGTGGCCTAGTGGACAGAGCACTGGATTAGGATTTAGAAGACCTGGCTCTATTCCTGACTGTGCCACTGGCCCGCAGGGTGGCGTTGAGCAAGTCATTTACTTTTCCGTGCTTCAGTTTTCTAATCAATAAAAAGGGGATAATGCTACTGACCTCACTTGTAAATGGGTTTGAGAGCTATGGATGAAAAGTGCTATATAAGAGCTAGGAATTATTATTAGTAGTAACTGACTATAAAAACCACAGATCTGATTTTTCTCAGCCATAGACATTTATGGCCAACTGCACAGGACTGGACTCTTTATTTCTTAGCACTTTGTTACACCCCAATAAAAGTTTTGTGACATTCACTAGTTAATACAATCGGTCAGAGGTAAAAAAGAGAAAAAAGATAATCTATCCTGCAGTTAATCAGAAAAAGAACGTTAGATACTTTAAATAATTAAGGATATTAAAAATGCATTACCTAATGTTTATCATTAACTAATTTGGCAGAAGAAGAACAGGATATTTTACAGCAGTCTAAAAATAAAGATGTCTCAGGTATCTCTACTCGCTCCAAGCATGCTTTAAAGATTTATACCCTGCTAGACGGAGAAGAACTGGGGCAGCATAGCAAGGACCAGACCAACACAACAGAGGTATAGGGTTCACACATCTACTAAAAAAGAAGAACAGGAGGACTTGTGGCACCTTAGAGACTAACAAATTTATTAGAGCATAAGCTTTCGTGGACTATAGCCCACTTCTTCGGATGCATATAGAATGCATATATACTCTGAAACACATCTACTAATTGGGGATAAATGGTAGAATGTCAAGGAGAAACACACAGGTGGGAAAGAGATAACAAAGGAAGTGGGTGGGGGAATAACATACCGAATGAAAAAAAACAAGAGGAGAGGGAGATGATGAAATGAGAGGTGAACAACAACATTAAGACTAGCACCTGGAAAAGAGAAAGGGAAACAACTTAAAACCCGATGAGTTAATAAAAGGGGGTGGGGGAGAGAGGAAATAATTACAAAGAAAATCTCCCTTTTATTTTTAAGAGTAGTGATTGAAAATACCTATTACAATATTCTTTTAGCATTTTTATTCAAGGAAGAAGCAAATCAGACTGCCTGAATGAATAGCCAAAAACTATCACCAAAAGAAGAGTAGCTGGATATTGTTTGAATGAAAGGCCTGAGTAACCTGCACTGTCAGGCATACAGTAGTTGATGACAAAGGCAAATCAGCTGTTTTCGTGATCCTTTCTATTTGTATTCAGCCTTGCAGCACACTGCTCTTATTATGAAAGTGTTACAAAAGTGACATTAAGAGTATGCACACTTGGACCAATTAGTTTAACCTAATGAACAAACAGCTCACCTAATTATCTTGGGAAAGTAAGACGTATCTGACTGTTTGACTCTGTGGTATAGACTAGGGAAAGTAATCTGCAGTGAACAGAAAGCCTGCTAAGGAAGGAAAATAAGCTGATCCAATTTTCTAATCTATCTAAGAGGGTTCTTAATAAACAGGGACTTCTTTAAATAAAAGGTATTGGCTTTGAAAAGATAAAAGACAAGCTTTTTCTTTAACACGGCATGGTTTTCTTGAGCTAAAACCTGCAGTCACATTTGACTGCCAAATAATCCTATTGCCTGGAGGTTTCCAGAGCCCACAGAAAGCTTAACTAAAGATGCTGAATTATGGAATAAGCAAGTCCTTAATAGGGATAATCTGAGAATTGGTTCGATATAGTACCTTACCAGGAACAAGACAGTGTTTGGGCAGGAGGGGACTATGACAGGGGGCAGGGTACTTCCTGGTTCCTGAGGAACAAGAATTAAACACCTCTAGCTCATCTTCACTCTTCCCTTCCCAGATGCTTAGAGCAGGACCTATAGGGCACTCCTTGGGATATGAAGCTGGATGAATGACTTTGAACAATCATGCTTGGTAACAGGATTGCAATGAGCCCCAAGCTGGGGAGTTTCTGCTTACATTTATGTGAACTTATTTTGATTTCCTGGTATCAACTTTGTTCAATTAGGAAAAAACAGTGATGACTCTGACTGGGTTTGGTTTCTTTCTGTTAAGTCACTCCACCAGCTTCTAGTGACTCAATGGTTGACTGTACCAAAATTGCCAGCATTGCATATACCTGTCTGACAAGAGCCAGCTGCAACGAGACGTAGAGGATGATTTGGTGGTCTTCAGGGGCCAACTGATGTGCTCTGTAAAAACAAATGAACAATAAGAAAAGGGAAGTGAGTGTCATACTGTACTTTTCATAATCTTCTCTGCCAGAAGGAAGCCACAAATTACTTATATATAAAACCATATTCCAAGAAGAATTCTACTCCCACAAGTGCAGAGCAGATAGTAACCAGACAGAAGTATGTGAGTGCTCTGCCAGCTGTGCCAAGTTCATGAAACCAGCAAGTAGGAACAGCAATAAAAATGCCACGCATCAGGATTTTATACAGCCAGATGCTAAGCTTCACACACTTGCAGAACACCATTTTGACAGTGTGAGATAGATGAGTTATGGCAGGGCCTTTAGCTATCTGACTATGATGGAGAAGAGGGCTGTGCAAATCGGCAGCTTCTAATTCATGACCTGCATCCTTTGTGACACTGTTTTAAGCGATTTAGGCCAACTGAAGTAACACTCGAACTGCCTTCTACCACTGACACTAAAACACAACAGCCTTTCTCTCTTCCTGGATGTTTTAATGAGAGTTCTACAAACAGAGAGGGATTAATACTGAAAATAAAAAGCATCCCATCATTTGGGTTTCCTTTCAGGATTTTTGAAGGGTCACTCAGATAACACTCTTAAAATTGTTACTGACTCCACTGCGGCCGACACAGCTAGTTCATCTCCTAGTGCTCTTTTGCAGTAATACCTTTACACAACAGGAAAGGCTGATCATACCAAAGAGATGTTTTCTAACTCTTTGGGCTGTACTCCAACAAACAGAGAACTCTGCACCTGTGCTGCCCTACCATAAGCAAGTGCAGTTGAAGAGTGTATGAGGGAGAAATGAAAGACTGACAAGCATGGCAGCTAAGCACTGCCAAACTATTCATTCACTAATAAAAAGATTTAAGAGTTACTGCTGGAAACAAAAACCACATACCATTTCAACGTCAGTTACCACAAAGTTCTCACATAGCTGATGAGAAAAAAGCAATTGCATTGATGATTTTAATTAACGGCTCTAGAATCAATTAGTTTAACTTGGACAAAGAGAGCCCTTTAACTCTACTTGTTTAGAACTTCTCTCTGAACCTGTGGCCAGTGTGTTCCACACCAAAGATATTATTCATCTGATTAGGATTTGACAATGGATATATCATGTTGCAGTATGTATAATCAACATACTGATCTTTTTACCAAAGACCAAATCCAACCCTGATCCTGACTACTGGGGTAGGGTGGGCTGCCTGTTTTTTACGTAGTTATTATAAAATATTCAATAGTCCCTTTAACAATAGACGGAAGGGTTAAAAAGGGGGGGAAGTTCACAGGGGTGTATGTGAACACTGACTGACAATGGCTTGGGAAAGAAAGAAGAGCTGCTATTTTGTTGCTCAGCATCCCCTTAAAGGGCATTAAAAAATAATCAAACTGATGGAATTAGGCTTCCAGCTGAGAGACCCGTGTTTAAGGATGGCTTCGGGATTCTATATCATGGGCTGAGAGTCTACATGTACTTTGGAACTGATAAACATAAATACACTGAGACACAGGGTATTAGCTGGCTGACTCTTGTAATGCCCCGGCTTGGCTGAACTATGAGTATCTGATGTTTGTCTAAAGACTTATCTGTTTCCTAGCTAGAGTTAAGATACCAGGAAAACAAGTCGTAGTCAGTGGGAAAGGTCAAAGAATAAAAATAAAGACAGTTAAAAAGCAAGGCAGCATAGCAATTACATGGAAATAGCACTGTCATGGAGTTACTACATGAGTCTAGGTACGTGTTACTTGAAAGAAGAGAGACTTGGTAAAAGTGGCAATTTCTTGCTCTTCAGATTACCATGTGGTGAGTATCCAGAGTCACATCTGCTGACTTTAGTAACAAAAATAAGTTTTTACTACTATATACTGTTACTGCTGCAGAGCCAGCATAGATGACAGCGAGTGAGATGGATTCTATTCTTTCTTGTGTAACATCAACAGAACTTTTTACTAAGATACAATTACAGAGTCAATTGGCACAAACTCCCTGAATACAAAGCAGTTGTCCAGGTGTAACCAAGGGCAGATTTTTGATCTGCAGAATCTCTATTATAGATGATAATGTGCAAGAAAAAAAGAATTCAGTCTGACTTAAAGACCTTATGTTAAATTTAGAACCCCTGATGACACGTACTTTAAAACAGCTAAGATAGATCGAGTTTGTGAGACTAACAGTTAGGAAAAAATCTTTTTCCTTATAAACTTGAGATGCATTAAACTTGGAACCTCATAAGGTCATTCTTACAGTTAACTTTTCATAATAGATTTAAAACTCAATTTTTGTCTTGTTTTGTAATTTAAGAAAAAAGGTGATACTTCACAAAAGTTAGCTTTTAAATGTAGCCAGATGACCTGCTGCATTCTTGCTATTGTAGGAGTCATTTGGAAAGACAATTGCGGAGATAAAAAATTTTTTTAAGTACATCAGAAGCAGGAAGTCTACCAAACAATTGGTGAAGCCATTAGACAATCCAGATGCTAAAAGAGCATTCAAGGAAGATAAGGCCATTGTGGAAAAGCTAAGTGAATTCTTTGCATCTGTCTTCACTGCCAAGAATGTGAGGGAGATTCCCACACCTGAGCCATTTTTTTTAGTTGACAAATCTGAGGAACTGTCCCAGATTGAGGTTTCAAAGGAGGTGGTTTTGGAACAGATTGATAAATTAAATATGAATAAGTCACCAGAAAGACCTCAAGTATGAAATTGCAGAAATACTAATTGTGGTATGTAACCTATCACTTAAATCAATCTCTGTACCAGATGACTGGAGAATACCTAATGTAAAATAGGCTCCAGAGTGATCCTGGTGTGGTCAGATGTTGGCTGAGTGTGCGTTCATTTAGTGTGCTGTCCCAGCTCTGCGCAGGCAATTACAGGTCCATAAGCCTAACTTCAGTATTAGGCAAATTGGTTGAAACTATAGCAAAGAACAGAATTAGCAAACACAGATGAACACAATGTGCTGGGGAAGAGTCAACACAGCTTTTGTAAAGGAAATCATGCCTAACCAATCTACTAGCATTCTTTCAGGGTGTTAGCAAGCATGTGGACAAGGGTGATCCAGCTGATATAGTGTACCTGGACACTCAGAAAGACTTTGACGAGGTCCCTCATCAAAGGCTCTTAAGCAAAGTAAGCTGTCATGGGATAAGAGGGAAGGTCCTCTCATGGATTGGTAACTGGTTAAAAGATAGGAAACAAAGGTTAGAAATCAATGGTCAACTTTCACAATGGAGAGAGGTAAATAGTGGGGTGTTCCAAGGAACTGTACTGGGATCAGTGCTGTTCAACATATTCATAATGATTTGGAAATGCGGATGTACAGTGATGTGGCAAAATTTGCAGATGATACAAAATTAGTCAAGATAGCTAACTCCAAATCTCCAAAGAGTTACAAATGGATCTCACAAACGGGTGACAAAATGGAAGATGAAATTCAATGTTAAGAAGTGCAAAATAATGCACAGTGTAAAACATAATCCCACTATATGCATAAATTGATAGGGTCTAAATTAGTGGTTACCACTCAAGAAAGAGATCTTGGAGTCATTGTGGATAGTTCTCTGAAAACATCTGCTCAATGTCCAGTGGCAGTCAAAAAAACTAACAGAAAGGAACCATTAGGAAAGGGATTGATAGTAAGACAGAAAATATCATAATGCCACTTTATAAATCTATGGTAACCCCACACCTGAAATACTGTGTGCAGTTCTGGTTGCCCATCTCAAAAAAGATGTATTAAAATCAGAGAATTTACAGAGAAGGGCAACAAAAATGATTAGGGGAATGGAACAGCTTCCATGTGAGGAGAGATTAAAAAGACTGGGACTGTTCTGCTTAGAAAAGAGATGACTAAGCACAGATATGATAGAAGTCTGTAAAATGAATGATGTGGAAAAAGTGAATTGGGAAGTGTTATTTATCTCTTCACATAACACAAGAACCATGGATACCCAATTAAATTAATAGAGAGCAGCTTTAAAACAAAACATAAGGAAGTACTTCTTCACTCAATGTACAATCAACCTGTGGAATTCGTTTGCCAGGGGATGTTGTGAAGGCAAAAAGTATAAGTAGGTTAAAAAAAGAAATAGATAAGTTCATGGAATCATGGAATCATAGAATATTAGGGTAGAAGTCATCTAGTCCAACCCCCTGCTCAAAGCAGGACCAACACCAACTAAATCATCCCAGCCAGGGCTTTGTCAAGCCGGGCCTTAAAAACCTCTAAGGATGGAGATTCCACCACCTCCCTAGGTAACCCATTCCAGTGCTTCACCACCCTGCTAAGGAAACACTATTTCACAATATCCAACCTAGACCTCTCCCACTGCAACTTGAGACCATTGCTTCTTGTTCTGTCATCTGCCACCACTGAGAATAGCCAAGCTCCATCTTCTTTGGAACCCCCCCTTCAGGTACTTGAAGGCTGCTATCAAATCCCCCCCCCTTCTCTTCTGCAGACTAAACAAGCCCAGTTCCATCAGCCTCTCCTCATAAGTGATGTGCCCCAGCACCCTAATCATTTTTATTGCCCTCCGCTGGATTCTCTCCAATTTGTCCACATCCTTTCTGTAGTGGAGGAACCAAAACTGGACATAATATTCCAGGTGTGGCCTCACCAGTGCCGAATAGAGAGGAATAATCACTTCCCTCAATCTGCTGGCAATGCTCCTACTAATGCAGCCCAATATACCATTGGCCTTCTTGGCAACAAGGGCACACTGCTGACTCATATCCAGCTTCTTGTCCACTGTAATCCCCAGGTCCTTTTCTGCAGAACTGCTGCTTAGCCAGTCAGTCCCCAGCCTGTAGCGGTGCATGGGATTCTTCCTTCCTAAGAGCAGGACTCTGCACTTGTCCTTGTCAAACTTCATCAGATTTCTTTTGGCCCAATCCTCCAATTTGTCTAGGTGACTTTGGACCCTATCCCTACCCGCCAGCATATCTCTCTCCCTCCCCCAGCTTAGTGTCATCTGCGAACTTGCTAAGGGTGCAATTCATCCCATCATCCAAATCATTAATAAAGATGTTGAACAAAACCGGCCCCAGGACCGACCCCGGGGGCACTCTGCTTGATACTGGCTGCCAACTAGACATCGAGCCGTTGATCACTAACCATTGAGCCCGACAATCTAGCCAGCTTTCTGTCCACCTTATAGTCCATTCATCCAATCCATACTTCTTTAACTTACGGGCAAGAATACTGTGGGAGACTGTATCAAAAGCTTTGCTAAAGTCAAGATATATCACATCCACTGCTTTCCCCATATCCACAGAGCCAGTTATCTCATCATAGAAGGCAATCAGGTTGGTCAGGCATGACTTGCCCTTGGTGAATCCATGTTGACTGTTCCTGCTCAGCTTCCTCTCCTGCAAGTGCTTCAAATTGATGGATAGCTCCATCAATGGCTAATAGTCAAGATGGTTGGGGATGCAACCTCATGCTCTGAGTGTCCCTAAACCCCTAATTGCCGGAATCTGGGACTAGACCACAGGGGATGGATCACTTGATAACTGTCTCGAACACTGTTGGAAGATAGGCTATTGGGCTAGATATACCATTGGTCTGACCCAATATGCCTCTTCTTATGTATTATATTAAAAACTGAGATGTTGAAACTTTTTGAAGAGCATATATATATTTTTAAAAGAACTAAAGAACTAATTTGGATTCATCCAAAGAGCAAAAGCAAACAGCAGCTAGTCAGGCTCTTTCTCACCTCTCCAAAGTTTGAAGGGCTTTCTTGTGCAATGTGTCTTGAGAACATTTCAGGGTAGCTGCAGGACAAGACACATATGATTATTTAACAGTTAGACAGAGAGCACTTTCAATACATTTTAAAATGTTAGCATACAATAGCAGAAGGATATTAGCACTTATATGTAAGGGTGTGAGAAACCCAGTTTTGTTTTTGGAAAAAAATGACAACAAAGACATTTTTTAAAAATATTTGTTGGTTTTTTCAAGGAATTCCCCCTCCCTCTGTTAAAAAAAAAAAAGCTTCTCTGTGACTCTGAAATGTTTTCTTTAACATAATACACATAATTTAAAGGCTTTTTAAAACTAGAAACATCAGAGCCAGACTCTTGGCCCTAGGTGTTTGGTGCTAACAGCGCCCAAAGCCCCTGGAAAGCTACCCTAATGGGGCAGCTAACTAGGTAATGCCCTCACTAAGGTATACCCAGCTCTCCACCACCTTCTATCCACTTCACACAGGGAGTGTGCCAGGCTGAAGAGAGGGAATGTCAGGGGTAGAGCTCATGGTGCTCTGCCAGATTCTTGGCCAGCACAGCAGGCTTTCTGGCCAAGCTGCTCCAAGTTATGCTAAGCATGGTTTTGGTCCCCAGTTGCCTCCTGTGCGCTCTCTTCAGCAGTGCCAAGTGTGAACTCAGCACAGATAAGGATCTGACTCATTGGGCTCTAATTTCTATCTGTAAAGTAATTCTAAAAAAAGTAGAATGGACGTGTTCTAGATTCTTGATATGCCAGTTAGGAAATGATAAACTTAAGGATCATTCTAGGACCCTAGAATAGAGGGCTGTGGGAATGGATAGAAGGGTACGACTTATGGATGTAATTCATTGTTATTGGATACTGAATAGAGGGGTATGCAATTGTTACGGAGGCTTGGTTTTCTAGAACCTAAAAACATCTGCCAAGTGGGCTGGGCATCTGATAGCATTGTTCTGTATTAAGCAGGCTAGCTCATATTGCTTTTCAGTCTTCACAATTCACAAGGAGGTTATTTGTTATTCTACATGCTGCTGATCAATACTGCAAAGAGGAGATTAGTGTTTAGTGAAGACCAAACATCAATGTATGAGTTTATCTGACTTAACATGCCTCAAGTTGATAGAAGTGGCAGGAACAAGTGACATAATGCAAGGAAAACACATTATTCTTTGAAAGTAAAGTAAAATACAAGCACTTTAAAGAGTTAAGTAGAAAAACAGAGAATTCATGCCCAAAAAATGTGGGTAAACAGTTTCTTCAGATTCTCTAAGATCAAACGTGCCATTGAATGAAAAGCAGAACACCAGTAAGTTTGGTAATACTGCGAAGTCAGACATTTTCTATGCCAATGTGGTTAGAAAATAAAGCTGCAATGATAAATTAAGTTCTTTTTAACATCCATTTCAATCTGGAGTGGTATCTGTTAGTCTTCAACACCCAAAAAATTACAGAAAGATCAACCAGTGATTATGCCATAAAACATCTTGAAAGGCAGAGACGTGATAAGAAAATTGAAGCCCCCTTCTTCTTTTTTTATTTTTACTAACCAGATAAGCTAGTGGTTAGTAAAAATAAAACACAAAATGAACAGTTTAAAGAAATGACTGGAACACTTCACCCTGGATAGACCTCTCCAGACAGACTGAAACTTCAGGTCCACTACCTGATGTTGTAAGTAAAGACAGAAAAGAAAAGAAAAGAAACAGAGAAAAAATTAAAAAACTCAACAATAATGCAAAATTGCTGGTGAAACATGAAAAATGATCTCATAATGGCTATAAGCATCTACCCAGGAAAAAGAAGTCTTCGTACTTAATGCTACTGATTATACATCTCTTAGAAAAACCACCAAATATTGTGGCCAAGTTGCTAGAAATGCTAATCCAAGAAGGCAGAGAAAAGTGTGACAAGGAGGAATTTTGCTATTTGTTATATATATATATATTCAAACAATGAAAATAAAATGAAAAACTCTATAGAATTTATCAGGTGGAATCATCCTAAACTTCTGATTTCTGGCTATTCAGCACACTATTTATACCTCATTTAAAAAGTAGTATAATACCTAAAATATATTGGGGGAGTTCAGAAATTCTTCCATAAGCATCAACCTCACATTTAGCTAACTGAGAAAGAAGGATTGCTGTCTCAGCTATCCAATGACACTTAGTGGAACTCTTGAAGATTATGGTTCTGCTCTTCAGCGGTTGCAAATTGGTGTAGCTCTATTGTCTTCAGTATAATTATGCTAATCATACAAGCTGGAAATCTGGCCCTAAATCTCTGCCTTTGCATCCAACTACCATAAGCATGCTGAGATATGTGCGGACAATGAGGACTTTTGATCAAAACATACCATGCTTCTTTTATTCAACGAGAGACTTTACAGAAAGGGACTAAACTTCCAAAAACTATTGGAAGATGGTTTTGAAGAGACCTGACAGATTACAAACTGATAATACAACTATCACAGTCTCAGTGGAAATGCAGCTTGATTTAATTAAGCCACATGAGATAAATCACATAAATCAATGAGAGTTAGGTGCCTTAATACTTTTGAGGATCTGGACCTTAAGAGCTTAAGTGTTACTGAAAATCAATGGGATTTAGGCTCCCAAATGCTAGATTTTCAAAAGGTGTTCTGGCATCTAAACATTTTTGAAAATCTGGTGCAAAGTCACTTTTGAAAATGGGATATAAGCTCCTTAGGCCTTAGTTCAGTGCAACTTATGCTGCAGCCCAAATTCTTATCATATATCAAATATGAAAGAATGTGGTTTGATTATTGATCTACAAATTAGGAGTGATTCACTAATAAGCAATGCCTACAGCTTTCTCATATTAGCTTGTGCCCTGAATATACTAACTGTATGCAGTTCTTATGGCTAGCTAGAGAAACATTTTCCCTTCCATTCCTGATTTGTGACATTGTATCCAAAGTTCCAATCACATTCTCTGAATGGGCGGAAGCCAGGGAATATTTAAGGATTAGCTGAGGAATGTCGGGGGCAGGTATGATGAGTACTTGCATTTCACAATATATTCTGTACTTGCAGATTTTTCCCCTTGCCAGGCCTTAGTTAAACTCAGCCTACCTTCCCTTGTCTTATATGAATTCTGTATGAGACCCAAGGGAGACAAAGTTGGCACTATAGACAGTGACAAAACTGGAATAGCAAGGGGGGGGGGGGAGATACACTGTTAAAAATGCTCCAACCTATCACAGATTTTAGCCATAAAAAAACAACCTAGAGAAGAAATAGATGTGCTGGAGCAATGAACCATCTGTGTTCCTGAGAATGAAGGAGAAATGAAGGCATCCTCTACTGAGGACAACACATCCCTCAGCTGCTTCAGTGAGATTTAGTTCAACAACACATAAGCAGATACCTTATGAGAACAAGGGAGCCACATAATAATTGTGTGGTGAGCAATCTTGTCTTATCAGGAGGGTAGCTCTTATATGTATAAAGGGACTTTTTTGAAGATTATTCAAAAAAGGCCAGAAAATGTTTTAATGATATTCAATATGATTCTCTCATCCCACTCCTGCAAAGAAACAGTCATGCTGTAAAGCAGAAAGTGTCACAAAGCAAAAGGTTTAGTTTTGAATATTCTATGTCTCTATCTCACTGGATATTGCTAACTATTGATAAAGTACGAATTAAAAAGAGAAAGCCTAATCTTAGTCAGAAAATGTCTTACATTCTAATGAACTTTCTAACAAAAGTTGTCAAGTGGCTTTGAAACAATTTATTAATTAGCACTGAGTGTGCTGTACCAATCAGAAGTCAATTTAAATGGAAAGTTATGGAAGTTAACATATATACACAGATATTTGTGTGATTGTATCTGACATTGTGAATGTGTTTGTACACACGAGAATACACACACACACAAAATCTTTCACAATATGAAATATAGGGTTTATATTGGGGGTTGATTCTCCTCCTTTCACCCCCATCAACTTCTACATCATTTCTATGATAAATATTTTATTCTTCCTATAACAACAACAACAACAAAATCTTCTTCAGTACAGATTTGGGTTTTTGGGATAAAATGCCAGATATTCATGTACTTGGAAACAAGTATGTTTTAAAGGGATTTAATCCATTTTATTAAAATAAGATAATCTCAACGAGGAAAGCACAGTCTCTAGTTTCTCTTAAAGAATTTGCCAGACACCTCCACTAAACAGTTGGCCCTGCCTAGTTTAACACGAAAAATATGAGGTCTGAAAGGCAGAAACTCCACTATTTCATGATGAAATTCAGAGGCTAAATTGGACACAAGTGCAGAGCTGCTGTAGTGAAGGTTAAGTGTTTTTTTAATAAATGAGATTGTTGTAGGTCAGAACATTCCTGAACCCTGTTAACCTCTTGAAAACTCAGAGAAGACACAGTTCCAGAAGAGAAAGCATTAAAACTCACACTAAAGCTCCTTAAATACTTTGATCATTACAGTGGAGTCCAACAGACTCCTCTACAACTTCATTTATCAGAAACCCTTTAATAAAGTTCCATTACCGAGGATAATCATTTTACTATTTATTTATTAACATATTTAAAAAGTCCATCTGAAAATAGACTCTGGGATCTTGTACAATCGTAGAGACAATTAAACAAAATCTGGGCACGATGCCTGAGGAAGAAGGCCATTATGTAGGACTCAAATGTTTTAAAGGACTTTAGAAAATAAGAGAAAGTTCAAGTTGTTTCCAAGAGCAACTGCTTTGGGGCAGTGAAACAGAGAAGAAACTGTGTTATATATTACCAACCACTTTGGAGAGGCACTTCTCAGAGTAGCTGCCCACTGGATCAGATATGGTTGCTTGGAGACTCACAGTGACTTCTACTAATGAAGAGCACAAATATATTTGATCAAGTTGCTCTGCTGTGGGGAAGCATGCAGCAGTACTACCCTCATTGACAGCACGGAAGATAGAGCTTTTCTGTGATCTGAACTACTGCCCACAGAGACAGTAAACAAATGGGCCTAAACCTAAGCAAAAGTGGGTGATGGTGCATTAATGGGCATGGCCAGGTTGATCAGAATGCCTGCTGATTCAGCAACTACTCAAGCAGGTTTGTGTTGGAACATTAGTATTGGCGTCCGAGAGTAAATTAAGCTGCTCCTAGATGTGAGCGTGATGGAAAACAGAATTAAAAGCCTTTCCTGCACTCCATGCAATGGGTGTTAGAGCACGTCACACCTCCATGTGCCAAGCTTGCAGAGCCTACTGAGAACTAAAACATAATGCTTGGTGCTTGCATAACTCTTTTCCCGTTCAAAGCTCTGTACAAACATTACCTAGTTCACTTTCACTGTGCCTCAGAGGAGTAGATAAGTATTATTTTAATGATAGAGAAACAGAGACACAGAGCGGTTAAATGACTTGCTCAAATCCACAGGGGGAATCAGTGTTAAGCCAGGAGTTGAACTCAGGAGTTCCTGTTTTCCTTTGTGATTTATGAATGTGAAAATAGATGGAAAGTCAGGCTTTATTATGTAAATAAATGAACTCTTGAGAAAAAATTATTACACGTTTAATTCAAACACCTCAACACTTGTTGGCCATGGCAAATGGACCTTCTCCCCAAATGAATAGGAAATCTGAGCAGTTTGTGTTTGTACTTCAGCATAAAAATTCCATGTAGCCTATCAAAGCAGATGTTGTTCAGAAAGCAAGTGAATATTCCCCAGTAGTTTAGGAGTTTGATTATTTTCCATGATCAGCCAAAGTTTCAACAATGTCTTTAATACGTTGCTTACACTGAAGACTCAGAATAGCTGCTTTATGCACAATATTTGATCAATCTTTACCATCAGTAGCTTGAAGACTGTATGTCAGACCCAAGGCAAGATACCCCTTAGCTAGGAACTCTCCAGCATCCTCTCCTAGATCTATCACCATCTTGGCGAAACGTTCCCCTTCCTCCAGCTGTAGGGAAAAGATAGGATGGAAAAAAAAAAAAACAAGTTACTTGCATCATGCCCACTCCAAAAAGATTACACAGTAACAACGACCTTGTGTGCTGTTACAAATGACCAGAGAGCTGTTAGCGTAAAGAGTCTCTGTAATCACAATTCAGCACAATTTTATACAGATTAATAGTAAGCAGGAGATATAGGGTCAGATTATCCACAGAGCCCAGCACACACAAACGGAGTCAAATTTTCAGAACAGCTCTGCTCCCAGTAAGGCCACAAAATAAGTGGTCAGATTTCAGAAGCGTGGTGCAGCCTGGGACTGCTGCACCACATAACGGAGCCCCCATAACTCTCCAGCCTGGGCTGTCTCTCACAATGCTTTGCTAGTGACAAGCAGCAAATCCCTTCAGGTGCTGTGACTACTCAGCATAACAGGATGTGGAGACCCACATCCAGCTAGACTGCACGAATGCTCCCAGAGCCATTCATGAATCACACAGAGAAAGGCACAGCCAAATGCCTCCAGCTCCCAGCAGTGTACCTCAGGAATATACCGTCTTGCACTGCTCAAGACGAGCAGTGCAAATTTATTAGTTGGTTCACCACTTCATCAATGAAAAGTAGATATATATTAACCTTTGCAAACCTGAGCAAATTTACCACACACTTCAGGCAAACTCACTGGTAAAGATAAACAGTAAAACAAATGTATTGACTACAGAAGATAGATTTTAAGTGATTATAAGCGATAGGCAAAAAGTCAGTTACCAAAATAAAAAATATATAAGCACACAGTCTAAAGTCTCAACCCTATTAGACTGGGCAATATCTAGATTAAGCAGTTTTTCTCACCCCACTGCAGTCCTTAAATATACAGGTTTGTCCCTTAACCTGGGCCAGTCTCTTCTATTGGAGTCTTAATTGTTCTTCTCCGTGTGTCTTTGTCGCTTGCAGCATAGGTGGGGGCAGGAGAAAGGTCCAGTATGTGGCCCCTGTGTTCTGTTTTATACCCTTAGTCCATCTGCTTGGAGAACACAAGTCCAGGCATGTCTGGTGGGCAGTGCTGAGTCCCCAGGCAAAGTTGAGCAATTCCCCTGGGGTGGTCTTATGCAGGTGAGTCATTGCATTGTAGCTCCCTTGCTGGACAATGGCTGGTGATGTCTGTTCAGCAGCACCCACCCAGGTATTGGTTACCTCCCTTGTCGTTGTCTCTGTAGACCTAGTATCTGGGTGCCTCCCAAACCCACTGCGTATTTTAGTGAAAACCATACAACTCAATTCTTATAATTTCATATGCATTGATGTTGCACATATTTAGATAGAACAAGGTCTTTCAGCAGATCATAACCTTTCCCCTGATACCTCACATGGCCTGCTTTATATGCAATATCACAATTATATACAGATGAGGAATATGGGGGTTACAAAACACTCCCCCAAGGTATAGTAAGTCTCATTCAGGTCATCTGAAAATCTGTCTGGGTCACTGGGAGCTGAGCACTTGTGTAATGGAGTGTACAAACCCCACACCGGGCCCAAAAGGTTTAAAGGATAATACTAGACCTACCCTGATGAAGACAGCACCTACCAAGGGTGCTGAAGAAGCCCCTGCTGTGAGGAACAGGACTGCAGGCTGAGCCTGTTGGGGCTGAAGGTTTAGTTATGTTACATTGGACTTGGAGCCATGGGCAGAGACGGATGGCAGGAAGTGCCCCGGGAGGATAACTTGTGCTGAACACTGAGTGACTCTCATAGGGCCCTAGGTCAGAGCCCGGTGGAGTGGGAAGGCCTGGGTTCCCCTATCAACTGCCCTTGTTGCAGGAGGGACATAAGCCTCATTCCCCCCCATTCCCCTTCTGGTAAGAAAAGGGCAAGGACACTGAAAACCCAAGGGGAAGCAAAGGCCATACACAGGTGTGGAACTGTACTGAAAGGCCTTCCTGCTGGGAGGCGAGGCTGGATACTGGGCACACTACCTACCAGACCCCACCTGGCCCTCCGAGAACTCTATCACAACCTGAAATAGTGATTGTGAGTGATTGAAAATTTGGTCTTAAGCCACTATTTCAATTACAAGGCATTCTTCAGCTTCACTTTACTGTTGTGAAACTACAGCTGCACCTAACTATTCTAATCGGGATAGTAATACTTATTACCTCCAGTGGTGGAGCTCATATGGGAATGGGGTGGGGGGAACTACCCCCTGACCCCAGCTGGTCTTTACAAGTACGTTTGTGCCTTTTCAAGCATATTATACAATTGATAAAAGGTGGTGTACAGCATAAATTTTCCCACAGAGCTGGAGACAGACCCCACTCTGCACTTAACTTTGTCCCATAGGCCTGGGCTGGCTTCTCACTCTGGGGGCTGCAACATGGCATTCACATCTGGTCTGGCCGCCCATCTGTCATGACAGAGGGGTGGCCATGCTAAACCTGAATGGCTATGATGCCACGTTGTAACACCTGGAATGGGAAGCAGGGTCCAGCCCTGCAGGGGCAGGAACCAGTGCTGCTGGGTGAGTGCAGGGTGGCCTTCCTCTACCACCCACCACTAATGACCCAAACACCAGGTGCATAACCTGACTCCACACTGCTTACTTCCTTCGTAAAGAAAGATCTTTGAGATCCACAGATGACAAGTGTGCTATATAAGAGTTATTCATTATTAATTATTGTAATCTACACTAATTGGTAGGGATGGGAGATGACTCTCAGTGTAGACATGAGATGTGTGGATTTGCACATGCATGGAGCAGTGGCACCATTGAGAGTATCTAGACCTGGTCTAGGGTGTTACTGGCTGCCAGCAGAGATGTGAGGAGGTTACCTGGTGCTCTTGCATTAGCCATTAGGACCAAGGCATTCTGTACTCCCCTGCCCTGTACTCAGCACAGTAGCAGAACCCCACACTCCATTTTCAGTGTAGATTTGCCATTTACACTACGCGCAGCTCAGTGAAGTTCTGCTATAATATAAATGTGATGCACTTCCTTTATGTAAGGGGGAAATGAGAAGGATTCTCTTCTGTTCCAACTTCCTTGCTCCTACCCTAGTAAAGATACAAACTTTCCTCTGAAGTGTTTGTATTTGCAAACAACAACTGAGGGAAGTTCCTGTTTTAATCAGAAGGTTTCCCGTCAAAATACAACTCACAGATTGAAAGAATGTCACAACTATGCTAATTCATGTCTTGCCTTGTCAATAGGAGATGGCCTGGAGAAGAATTCTCTTGCCTCCTTCCATTTGCTTGATTTTTGTTTACCCCACTGCCCCCATACAAATGCCCTGCACACCGTTTACCACCCCTGCTACATGAGGGTTGGACCAGGGTTCCCTGACAGTTCATAATCCCAGGTTAGCCTGGTAGGGTAGCTGAAGAGTGAGTATGTCTCTTTGCAAAGAAGAAAAATTAAAGGACCCACAGATAAATGGGTGCCAATTTGCCCAAAGTTCCAGATTGTTTGGAACCAGAGTTCTGGTTCAGGCCCAGCTGTGCTTTAAATAGTGAAACACTTCTTCATTGTCCAAAGTTTGTAACATGAAAAAAGAAAGCGGCAGGGGAAGGAGAAGCACCTTTGGGACATTATGACATAGGCCTGGTCTATACAAGAAAGTATATAGTTATACTGGTATAACCACCTCCCATTTGGACACTATTATTCCAACAGAAAAATGATATTTTTTGTTTGGCAGTTTAGCAACCTAATGATTTCAGCTAAATTTAAAAAAACGGGGGTAGGGATGTCTTATAACAAGGTAAGTGTCTACACAGAGGTTATACCACTATAACTATATTCATATTTTGGCTTATACAAAAAAAAACCCCTTCCAATGTAGATAAGGCCTTACTGGATAGAGGTCACAGACTGACAGATGTTATAGGAGGTTAAAGTGCATTTTATCTTGTTTAAATATTTGCCACTGGGCAGGCACCAATTACATGTTTTCAAACAAGAATGCCGGGCCTCTTGGCTATTTACATACAGCTGTACCACAAGTTTGCCTGTTCATAAGCGTTTGTGGGCGTGTGTTTCCTTGTATTTGTCAACATCTGCTTTTGCTGTGCAATCTTTTCTGTGAAAACCTCAGAGCAGTTTTACTTCCTCTGTTAAAATGAAAAAATATGGAAAACAAAGCACTCTTGCCCTCCCCCTGGGCTAAGCACACTGTCACACCCAAACTCTACTGCCCCAATGCCAGAAAGCTTCAAGTTCAGAACCCAAATTTTGATCCAACATGTTGCACTGCTTCTAGACCACTAGGCCAGCTATGTTTTGTATTTTAAGGGTCCAATGCTACAAGTGCTGTGCACCTTCAAATAGTACAGATTTTAATGGGAATTGAGGTCACTCAGCACCTCACAGGCTCAGGGTCTAAGATGGCAAATACTTAGGTCCATCTTTCCTATTCTAGCACAGAGACCATTCTGCCATTTTGGAGAAGCTGCGCAGCTGCAAAGCTAACTGGTAGTTTCACTGATCACAGACTGGAGACTAATGAAAACATAAAACACAGGTGCCAGTAAAATCAGAATGTAAAAGACAGCTACTAATCATAAAGGACTTGGCATTGTTATTGGTTATTTTCCAAAATCATCAGTCAATCCTTTTAAAATACAGTTTCCTTAACTGTCCTTAGAAAGGATCAAGATTGTGGACAGAAAACACTTCACTACCGGCCAGAGCGTCGGGCAGCGATCAATCCCGGCGACTCCTGTACTCCTGCTCGGCGAGAGGCACAGGCAGAGTCGACGGGGGAGCGGCAGCAGTCAACTCACCATAGTGAAGACACCGCCACAGTAAGTAGATCTAAGTACGTCGACTTCAGGTACGTTATTCATGTAGCTAAAGTTGCGTAACTTAGATCAATCCCCCCATAGTGTAGACCAGGCCTAAATTTCTAAGGTTAGAGAAAGAGCTGTGGCTAACCCTTGAAAGCCCCAGAATATGCCTCATTAGCGTACAGGATAGACTGCACATCCTGTCAGCACCAATCAACAGTGTCAGCT